TGTTAGTGGAGTAATCAATGACTGGTAACAAAATTACCAGTCCTTTTTGCTTTTGCAATTAAGGAAAAGATAGTAAGAACTATTTGATAAATACTAAGAATGGATATGTTTAGTAATCCATTCATCGTTTTGAAGCTATTATGAGGTAAGATTATTTCAGCTCTGGATTGTTTTAATGTTTAAATCAGCAGACTTCTGCATTCTTACCCTATATTACAAAAAAAGTAAATAAGTAAATAAAATTAAAAAAACCATACTGGGCTGGTGGAGTGGCTCAAATGGTAGAGTGCCTGCCTACCAAGCATTGAAGCCCTGAGTTCAAACCCAGTACCGCCAAAAACAAAACAACCAACAAGTTAAATAAATAAAAAACTGTTATTCATAGTTTGGTATTTAAAACTTACGAGGTTTTCTTTTATTGATAACTTAATAGATATTTGAGGAGGATTACCAGGCTTTAGCTTTGTTCTAATTTGAGCCACTTGAAAATTTGAAAATCAAATACATTACTGTGTTTTCCTTAAAGTAACAGTGACAGCATTTGCAAAAGCAAAGCCTAGTAGCTTTGTTTATTAAATTGGTAAATATTGACGTTTGATCCTGAAATTTTAAATGGCATTTGGAAAAAAAATTAGCTGTAGTTTAAGTAATGTTCACAAAATTATGTTAGTGGAGTAATCAATGACTGGTAACAAAATTACCAGTCCTTTTTGCTTTTGCAGTGTATGTGGGTCCCTATTTTAATCACCAACACAAAAACAAGGAGGAGGCCAGGTGTAGTGAAAGGCTATAATCACAGCTACTGGAGGATAGAGGCAGGAGGAACAGTTTGAAGCCAGCCTGACAAAGTTATCTATCCCCTATCTCAAAAACAGATGAGCTGGGAGGGCATGCCTTAAGTAGTAGAGCACTTGCCAAGCATACTTAAGGCCCTGGGTTCAATCCCCAGTACTGCAAAAAGAGATAAATTTAAGTATACTCTTTCAAAACTAAGTCTTTTTTTTTTTTTTTTCCTTTGTGGTGGTATTAAACCCAGAGCCTCACAAAATTAGTCTTTAAGATGTGTTTTCCTGCTTCCTACTCTCATCACTCCCTGCCACCAACACATGCCTAAGAAATTGTGTCTGATTTTGTCTCTCTAGGATCTTTTCCACATTCCTCCTTCTTATAAGAGCACTGTCACATTATCCTGGAAACCTGTACAGAAGGTTGAGATGGGGTAAGAAGTATATTTAAAAAGGATTTGAAAGTTGCCAAAATCTGAATTCAGTTTTCACTTACACGAGGGTATACTGTTAATTAAATGATTCTCAAGAAAATGTTAAAATATGGCTATTAGAAGCACTACTTAAAATACAAAACCTAATTCCAGTATTTGTTGAATAAACCGGTAGACTATAACCCTGGAACTTTCAGCTTGTTTATATGCCTGTAGCATAAATAGACTTTTGCAACAGTTTTATAAAATGAATCACTTGCATGTTAGTCTCTGAAACTACACATTTCATATTGTTTTAAAGCCTTATAAATGCCTCTGACAATGTTCATATAACCAAGTCCTGGTTAATTTGATGGCATGAAACAGCATTTTGTATTTTCTAATGTGACTGCCCTCTTTAGGTTGTCTTGATACATAAGTTATAAATGTATTGATAGCTTCTGGCATAATAGAATTTTTTTTAATTACTATTCTTCCTACTATTATAGGCAAAAGAGAACCAGTGAAGATACAACTTCAAGTTCACCACCCAAGAAATCTCCAGCAGGACCAAAAAGGGATGCCAGGCAGATTTATAATCCTCCCAGTGGGAAATACAGCAGCAATTTGGGCAACTTTAATTATGGTGAGCGTTTCCGTTTGGGTACAAGCAATACGAGAGATTAGATAGAAATTAGATTTGCTTGATTTTCATTGTTAATTATATATAGTATCATAGTTCTGTCAAGTGACTTTCCTGAGTTAGCTTGGGAACTAGAGCTGTTGGGGAAATAATTTATCCTATTTCTCTTAACTCTTGTGAGCTCCCTGAACACTTAGCATGCTGCTTGTATTCAGAGGAAACAATAGAAACAAAAGAAAGGAACTTGGCATGAACCATACCTTCCTTATTCTCCCAGTTCCAGCTTTTAGGCAAAGCATTCTGTGCTTTCTCCCTTAGGGATGGATATTGCTTCTGGCAGATGTGGTATTAATGATCTTTCTTGAATCTTGTCATCCTGTTGCTTGCTCTCCCATTTTCTGTAGCTAAATGAAATGGAGAAGTCATAGAAATGGAATCAGATAGTCAAGCATCCTCTGGCAGAGAAGATGTTCTATTGTAGTCTCTCCTTTGCCCAGAGTGCTATCCTCCTGTCACTGTTTCTTACTGTGCCTTGGCTAGAGCTTTCCTGCTAGATCATTCTCTGCCAGGGCTATTGAGTCAGAAGTGAAAATCATCTCTCATTCCTTTTTCCCTCATGGATCCCTTTTTAAAAAAAAAAAAAAAGGGCAGAAATACCAGCTCAGTTCCTTATCTTGCTTAGGAAAAGAAAGTTTAATACTACTGGCAACCAAACATGTTTGTGGTTGGTATTGATTGCCAATAAGAATTAATTCTGCAGTATTTACTTTTTAAAAAGTGCATTCTGAGCCATATACTCTCTGTTCTAAGGTGAGATAATTGTGACATCCTGTAAATTCTTCCTACAATGCCTGAGTTCCTCTGTCTGAGCAAACAGATTAGAGAGTGCCAGTTTTAGACTGAGAAATGAACCCTTCTATTCAAATCAGTTATTTTACATATCACTTTAAGAAATATCTCTGAACTCTTTTACTGGTATATCAGTGTGTAAATATACATCTCTTCACTTTTTTTTAATCCAAAAAGTAAGGATAATAGTTTTTACGAGCTTCAAGTATTTATGAAGAGGCTTTATTCCCATTTCTGCCCACTTTTATCCTGTTATACTAAATTTCTTCCCTACAAAACTTTACTATCATTTTCATTATTATTTTTTTAAAAAGAATATTTATGAAAGCATTTCTTAAATGGAAAGAATTCTGTGTTACTTCATTGCACTTTGTAACTTGTATAATGTGATATCTAACAGTACTATATTAAAATCAACAATTAGATACTAGAAGAATGTGACTTAAATGAAAGTAATCAAGAGCTTTGGCATTACCTAAAAGAATTCTTTTCATTTTCACTTCATATTCCTTTTCAGCTAGCTGGGCAGGTCAGTTACTCTGAGTCTCCACAAGGATCTGTCCTACAAAATTCATTTTCTTCTGGATAGAAGGTAGAAAAGAGGTGAAAAAAATGTAACATCTTAGATAGTATGCAATTTTTAAGATTGTCAATGTAAGTGGTTTTACTAAACACAAAAATCCAGGTGTAACAACATCAAGTGTTTCAGTAGTCTTCAAAGTAATAAAAGGGCAACATAACATGGAAAAGCAAACTAAACTCTGATTCTTCTTTTGGAAAGTATGGACAAATCCTTCCAGTATTTTACATATGGATGTTTAATAACATCAGGTTATAGGTATTCTCACAAAAATAATTTGAAGAGTTTTCTTGACTTCACTTTACCCAACCTTTCTCAGTATCTAATTTTATCATTTACTAACCACTGTCTTTGATTTTCTTTTTCTTTACAAAAATTATATTGGTTCCCACAAATTAGCTCACTTTTCAGGGTGCGTTTTCAATCAAGTTATTTATAAGCACATGCCCATCCTTAGTTTTGTTCTCGGAACAGTGTTCTCTGATAACCCAGGAATGCTAAATACTCTCCACTCTGTGATTTGTGTCATCTTTAGCCCTTCTAGAATATGAGGATTATTATTAAAGTATAATTTTAACTGAGAGTTGAAGTGTTTTTCCAAAGTTCGTAATGGGGCTGGTCATGTAGCTCGGTGGTAGAGTATTTACCTAGATATGTGAGGCCTTAGGTTCAATATCTGGCATCACCAAAGAAAGAAAAGGGAAAAAAAGTTAATGTGAATTTTAAACCACTGAAAAGATCATAAAAATGCAGAACAGTCCTTTAGGATGAGGCCATTCAAGAAAGAGAATTTGGTGAATCCCTCCCTATACTATAGAAGTAGCTGAATCTGTTGTAGAGCAAAAAGAAATAGCCAATATAGAAAAGATAACTACATCAAATTATACCTTCACATAGTGTTTAGTATTCTTCATATTAAAATTGGAAAAAAAACTGTAAGGGTAGATATTAGTAGTCTGTTAACATATATATAGCTAATAATGCTATGAATTAGTTTGCTGAGTTTTTGATTGTTAAAAAAGGGAAATGATGAAGACTCTTAGCTGGAAGTATAGGTCAGTAATAGAACCCTTGCCTAGCATGCATGAAGCCCTGGGTTTGATCCTAAGCCTGAAAAGAAAAGTTGTACACTTTTAAAATGCATACATTTTTTTTCTTTTGCAATACTGGAAATTGAACTCGGGGCCTTGCACTTGCTAGACAAGCGCTGTAACTCCTTGACCCACACCTCCAGCCCTCATGAACTTTGAATGAAAAAGTAGTTTTAGCATTGTCACTTTGAATGTATTCTCTAGGGTAGTAAACATGATGACTTCATTTTTAAATGATTTGCATATCAGTCCACTAATAAAAATGAGTCATGGCACAAGAGGTGACTTTGAGTTAGGTTCCACTGAATCACACAGAAAAACATGGGCTAGGAAAAGGTCTAGTTAGTTTTCTAACTAACTGGTTTTCAGAGTTAAGTTACTTTTCCATCTGGAAAAAAAAATAAAGACATCAAAACATCACCTATTAACCAATAATGGCAAAAAAGAAAAATGAATTGCAAAATTGACTTAGAATATTTTTTAAGCCACCAAGATTGTGAATCAGAAAGAATAAAACTAATTTCTTTTTATTGCTGCTAACAAGATAGTTGCAGTGAGGAAGTTTGAAAGTTCAGTGAAGGTCAGGTACCAGTGGTTCACACCTATAATTCTATACTCAGGATGCAGAGATCAGGAGGAGCATGGTTCACAACCAGCCCCAGGGCAATGGTTCCTAAGGACCCTATCTCAAAGAAACCCATCACAAAAAATGGGCTGACAGAGTGGCTCAAGCAGTAAGAGTGTCTGCCTAACCAGCATGAGGCCCTGGGACAGCATACCAGGTCCTAGCTAATGATTGAGATGGGGGGGGTCTCACAAACTTTTTTTTTCTGTCCCAGCTGGCCTATGATCCTCCAATCTTAGCCTCTCAAGTAGCGAGGACTACAGGATTGAGCCACTGTGCCTGACTTCACTCAGTTTTTTTCACTGGAAGAACACCTATGAGGAATATTTCTCTGGAGCTATAAAAGTGACTAACCAAAGCCAAAAATTACTTCCTTAGCACTCGGGAGGCTAAGGCAGGAGAATTTCAAGTTTGAGGCCAACCTGGGCTACACAGTGAGACCCTGTCTACAAAAAAAAAGTGACTGACCAATGGATCAAAGACTCTTGTTTTATCATGTGATTCAAGTAGCTTTATTTTTCAGCAAAAGATAAGTGTGATTTACACCGGAACTCAAACACTTGACACAGATACCTTCTTGATAGCATGGAGGTTCACACGGCTGATAAAGCAGTGAAAAAAAAGTCAGCATTTGTATCCTTTGTATCCTATGCTTATATGAGTCCAAGTTAAATATTGTGATAAAACAAAAGAAATTGTCTATTAAGTTACATTTTTTTAGTCAGGTCTAATTTTTCAAAATTGATCATTGATAGTTTTAAGTTTTTTATATTTATAGCACTAACCAAAAGCGTAGACATGTAGTTTAACTAATTCTTTGGTGGTGATAGGCACCAACTAACAAGTGTAGTTATAACATTGTCACCTTGAAATAACTTTGTTAATGGGATACATTTACTTGAGCATGTACTATGAAAGTCTTTGGCACCTTGACATATGTCCTTCAGTATAAATGTTTGCCCTGATTTCATGTATTTCTTTTTATAAGGCCTGCTACTTTCTGAGCTATAAAGTGTATTTCCTTTCTGTTTGCTGTCCTGAGCAAGTCCTAAACCCTTGTTCGCTTTTTCGTAGAGCAGAGAGGAGCCTTCAGGGGAAGTAGAGGTGGCCGAGGTTGGGGAACACGAGGAAATCGTAGTCGAGGAAGACTCTACTGAATAAGACATACATTCTTCATCATTGTCATGAGCTTAATATACTTAAATTCTACTACTCATTGGATTGCCGGGGATGCCCCTATAAAAGGACTGCTGCCTTCAGCTAAAAACTTAATGTTCTTTATACCTTTGTATGTATGATCTACTTTTGTAACAGACCAGGTTGTGTCCAAGGTAAAAACCACAATAATATTTTTGGATGCTTTGTCTGCAATCTTGACTTGTTTTTGCAATATCCTCATTATTCAGACTTCATATTGTGAACCTTATACTTTTAAACATCTTCATAATTTGTTATTGACAGTTGAGTCTGAAAGGTAATGAAATTCAGTCTAGTTCTGTTTGGTAAAGATCATCAGTTTTGGAAGGTTACTGATTTCCTCTCCCCTCTTCGTGTTTTGCCCAATAGATGGAGAAGAGTAATGGTCAATCTTATTATATTTTCATTGTTTCTTTTTAATAAAGCTGCTAGGCAGTGCTGCAGCATTCCCACCTAGTGTCATAAAAATAAAATACCAGCTTTCTTAAAACATAGACATGACAGTTCATTTTTAGGAGGAAGTAAGTTGCTTTGCACTCCTTACTTCACTCTTCTCCGTATATTGGGATATACCTTTTGAATATGCGATCTTAATATTTAAATAGAAATGCATATGTATATATGCATGCTGTGAAACTTGAGTACACAACCAATCAATATTTTAAATTCCAGGAACGGGTAGTCTTTGACACGGTAATTGTCCTTTTTGAGGCTGAATCCATTATTGACTTGTTATCCAGGTTTTTACTCCCAGTAGAGAGGAATTTTGAGTCAGTTGCACTTACTTGATTATTGTTATTTAAACCTAAAAAAAAACAAAGGCTGTATTTTCAGAGACAGATTTGGAGATGCTTGTTGGTGAAATACAGCCAGATCTGATGTACATATAGGTTTCTACCGGATGAGATAGTATAATTTAGGATTTGGAGATTTAATAACCAGGGCTACCCAGGAAAAAGTGTCTTGATAACATAATACCAATAAGTAAGGGATGCTCTCTCAGTTTGCTTTTGCCACTTTCAAGATTTTAACTTCTCAGGTTATTAATCAGATTATTGTATAAGTTAGCTAATAGAGACCTTAGATTAAACAACAGATGGGAGGTTTGTGGAGTGTCTAATGTCATGGGCATTTTTAGTAGCATAGACCCTTTGCTCCGCATTTGAATGTTGCATATATTTTTGTTCCACAGTTAATCTTCCCTTCCCAGATTTGCTATTCAAATCAAATGCCCAAAAGACTTTTCTAGTAGTTTGGTGTGTTTTATGAGGAATAGTTTGTGATTCCAACATAGGTGTCTTTATTACCATTACTCTACACTGGGAAAAAGCAAAACCCTTTGTTAGAATTACTGCACGTTTGTGGGAAAGACATTTCTAAAAGGCTAGAATGATACAAGTGAGCCAAGAAGTTGGTCAGCTTGACTATGGAGTGGTGGCAATAATCTCTAAACATTCCAAAAGACTAAGCTGAACCTAAGCTCCCTTGGAATCTGAACACACATAGGAACATGGAATTATCACTTGAAAATTGTGACAAGCAGTTCTGGACCTCTGAGGTAGATTGGCCACTGGCCTAAAGCCATTTCAAGTACAGAAACTGTATCGGGACTACAGCTACATAAATTTGAACATCAAGTGTAATTTTTCCTTTTTCATTTTTAAGCATGCTTGTAAACTCAGCTGAGCAGAAATGACTTGACTTTCTCAAGTCTGATACTGAGCTGTGTTCCTTCCCTTACTACTTTCTTGTTTGCTTTCCCTTTCCTAAGGCAATAGTGCACAACTGAGGGGTTTTTGCTTCAAAATTTTAAATGAAAAATTTCATGCCATGGATATTTTTCTTTTGCAAGACACCTGTTTATCACTTTGTTTAAATGTAAATGTTCCCTTATGCTTTTGAAATAAATTTCCTTTTGTAATTTTGTTTTGTGTCTTGATGTGTTATAACTTCAGATTCTTGATTACTTATTAACATTGATTGACCACTTTTTATGTACCAAGCAGTGTGTTAGACCCTGGAAAAAATACAAGGATGGACCAGACGGTGCTCTGCCTTCAAGGAATTTAGTCTTGATACAGTCTTGCAAATTATCTGATTTGATTTTTATAAGCTAATATCTCTTGGGGAAAAAAAAAAGATTTGATTCTTTTTGTTAAACATCAGTCAGACACAGTGGAGCACACTTGTAATCCCAGCACTTGGGAAGCTGAGCCAGTCATATGGCTTAAACACTATCTACATACTGAAAACTGCCAAATTTTACCTCCATTATTTCTTGCCTAGGGTTGCATAATCTCCTAATCTACACAATCAGTTCTAAACACAACAGCAAAGAGACATCTACTCTTCTACTTGAAGCTGTTCAGTGAGTCCCCATTTCAGAATCAGAATAAAAAATACTACCAATGTTTTTAATTTCTGACATTGGCTGCTATTCTGCCTGTTGATTACATTGACCCAGCCAGTTAGCTTCATACAGATCAGCCAAGATACCCTCCTGAATTAGAGCCTTTGCACTGCCTATCCCCTTTAGCCACTCATCCTTATATCCACATATTTTCCATCTCTTTAAGGCCCTCAGAAGTATCTTACTTAATGTTATAATGCCCCTTTCAGCACCAAGACTCCAGATCCCACTCACCCTACTGTATGTTCTCTGTAGTATCCACCAACTTTATTGTTTATTCTGTTCTCCCCCTGCTAGAATATAATGTGGCTAAAATGCCACAACAGTAATGATTTTAGCATTTTGTTCACTTACAGTCTCAATATTTAGAATAACACTTTGTACATAGTCAAGTTGATGGCACTGTTTGGGGCTGGTGACATAGTTGATGAAGACAGGCAAACGAGTTTACATTTTATTATGCAAAGTTGACAAGCCAATGTCAGAGTAGTAAGTGCTGTGAGGACACAGCATTCTAATGTGTTATAAAGAGTGAGCATAGAAAAAATGGCCAGAAAAAGCCTCAGGAATTACTTTGAGCTGAGACCTGCATGATGACATTGAGCCATCTCTTTAAAGACCTCAAGGAAAAAGTACTTGAAATGAACAGAATCCATGAGATGCTTAGCTTTTAACAATGCCAGGCTGTGCTAGAGAATGAGCTATCTCAAAGTTCTTGAGTTCCTAATCGCTACTCCAGAATGCCTAAATTCCCAAAATTGCACTCAATAACTCAAAAAACACCATGCTCATTTTGATTTTTGGGGAGAGGTGTGGAATATAATTCATCTAGCTAAGATTCATCCTTCAGGTCAAACTAGGTTTCACTCTGCCTGGGAATCCTTTCCTATCAGGTTAGTCAGTACCTCTGTGCTCCCTCAGCTTTCAGCTCTCCTGTCTCCATCTTACTCACATCAGGGCCGGGTGGGCAGAAAAACAAGAGCAGTGAGATTTCATTCAAATAAGTTTGATAGAAACTAAGACAAACTAATGAAATCTAGTGTATCAGGAAAAACTTAAATAATGATGGCTTTATTCCTGGAAGTTACAGATTTATTCCTTAAAGCCACAAGCAAGATCCGAGAAAACTGGTCATCAAAGGGCTGAACTGAGCATAAGCATAGGTGGCTCACACCTGTAATCCTACCTACTCAGGAGGCAGAGATAGGAGTGTCATAGTCAGAAGCCAGCCCAGACAAATAGCTCAGGAGAACCTATCTCAAAAAAGCCCATCACAAAAAAAGGACTGGTGGAGTGGCTCAAGGTGTAGGACCTTAGTTCAAACCCCAGTATCACCAAAAAGAAAGAAAATACAGTTAATACTAGAAACGATGGGAGACAAAGTGTAGCTCGAATAATACATACAATTCTGGTGTATATAAGTAGTAAAGGAATAGAGAGGCAAATAAAAAATGAGGAATTGGTACTCCTATGAGGGAAAACTAAAGTCCTGTCAAGTGATTAAAAAAAAAAAAAAACACAAACTCATGAAGGGTTTAGATAGAGTGAATTTGAATTTTATAAAATCAGTATATTTAATCAAGTATATATGAGGGGGGAAAAAAAAACAGGGATTGAGATTGGATATAATCTTTAGCTACTTACAGATTAGCCACAGCAGTTATTACAGAGACTGTCTTCCTAAGTGTAATAACAGCTGCAGGGCCTTTGGATAAATTAATGGCTGGTCAGTATAAATCAAAATTGTTTTAGGGATGACCATCATGCCATCCTCAGGACAACCTTGCTGTCATTGTGAGTCAGAATTCTGGACTCACTGGACACTTGGTCTCCTCTATAGTAGTTCTCATGCTTCAGACTGATCTATTTTACAAACTATTTCTAAATGAAATTAATACACTTAGGTATCTCTACCTCCCTTCCGAAAATCCTCTTCCCTTTCTTGATGCTGCTGGGGCAAAACACATGTATAGATTTTCCATAACCAGATCCCTCCTAAATCCACCCTGTTACCCCCACACACACCAACTTAAAATTGCTTAGGATTTAACTGTATGTCTTAGACTGCCAGTAATTCCTTCCATTACTGCTTGGGCTTGCTGTCCCAAGATGAGTCTTATTTCCATGCTGCCTTGAATCTGACTTAGCTATATTACTTTGTTTGACTGAAAGAAAGCAGAAGTGATGTTTTGCCAGTTTAGGGCCTGACCCTCAGGTATCCTGGCAGCTTCCACTTTCAGTACCCTGAGCTATCCTGTAATACACCTATGTAACTACCTTACGTGAGAGACCCAGCCTCCCCACCCAGTTTAGCTATCCAGCTAACACATGTGAGACACATGAGTGGAGCCATTTTGGAACATTTTACCCATAGCCCTAGCTAAATGCAACCTTGTAAGTGACCCCAGCCAACATTTAAAGGAGCAAAAGAACTACCCAACGATCTATAGATCATGTTTTCAAGCTTAAAATTTAAGCCACAAAGATTTAGGTTGGTTTACTGTGAAGTAAAATATGATCAGTTGACAGAATTTAAACAGAGTTTGGGGGATATTTATATCTTTAAGTATTTTCTCTAAGGAATAAACAGAGGGTCGATGGTACGGCTCAAGGTAGAATGTCCTGCCAGGAAGCCTGAGGCCCTGAGTTCAAACTTCGGCATTACCAAAAGGAAAAAAAAAATTACCTCCATATCTAAGGAATAAACAGTTTAGAGATACCACTGCAACATTCAAGTAAGGTAAGCCCTTACCAAAGGAAAGATCATTTTATCAATGTCTAATTCCCAGCTTTAAGAATTCTCTGATTTATGGGGGTGGGAGGATAATCCCAGCACACCTGTAATCCCAGCATTCAGGAGGCTGAGGCAGGAGGATCACAAGTTCAAGACTAGCCTAGGCCACACAGCGAGACCCTGTTTCATAGGAAAAACAAACAAACAAAAAACAACAAAAAAGCTACCTTTAGGGGGAATTGAAAAAAAAAGTCAACAAACTAAATATGGTATAACTTGTCATTGTAGTGCTACAGAATTCAGAGACAGACAAGGTGATATTTTTATAGGCTGGGATTTGGGTTGTACCTTAAATGATAGGTACGAAAAGGAAGCATGAGGAAAGAGGAAACCATGAGGAAAAATATGGAAGGTGTATGGAAGATTAAAACATATTAGCATAGGCAATGCTTCCTGCCCTTAGCTAATGATCTAGGTAAGTGAGCAAAGAATTATAGGACTGGCCCCTGGATGGCCTAGGCCAACCCAGCTCTCTCCCCTTGTCTGCCATCCTCAAGCAGAATATATCAAGAATGCAATATCCTGAGGTAAGGAACAAAATGCCCATAACCTGGGCTGTGTCCTTATTCTTTCTAGAGCAGTTATGTTCTGCAATGCTTGGACTCAGTGGTACCAGTTGTACCCAGGGTATAAAACCCAGAGCAGAATGCTTTTGTAGTCCCTCAGATGTGATACAATGTGGAGACCTCCGTCTGCTTCCATCCTGAGGCTTGGACCAACTCACAGTGTTTCATGGACTTTTGTATATCCTTGCTGCTTATATATGAATAATTCCCTTTCCCTGACTTATTCTGTTAGTGTTCTGTCTCACTGATACTGGCCCAGACCTAAGAACCTTTGCAAGAATTGAGAGTTCAGGTGTTCAAATTTTATAAAATAGTATTACTAAGTAGCATGGTATTACTTGTCATATTAGTGCTACAAATTCAGAGGAGACAAACAAGGTGACAGACATTTTTATAGGCTGGGATTTGAGCTGTACCTTAAACGACAGGTATGAACAGAAGTAGGAGGAAAGAGGAAACAGGGTGAACAAAAGCACTTCTAAGTGTTAGTGTATGATACAACAGTTCAAGACTACAGAAATGGTATTTGGCAGTCAGGATCTGTGGTAGGCAGCATTCTAAGATGACCCCATTGAACCTTGCCCCATAAAATCACTATGCACACACACACAAACATCACATTTCACACTATAACTATATATAATTTTTGTTTGTCTATTATACCTTAATAAGACTTGGACTTAATTGTGGAGAAAATGTGAACGTTATCACTCCTGTGATTATACATGGACAAAGGAATTTTTGCACTTTTTTTTTTTTGGCAGTACTGTGGGTTGAACTCAGGACCTTGGCTTGCTGAGCAGGTGCTCTACCACTGAGCCATACCTCCAGTCCTGCAGACATCAAGGTTACTAATCAGTTGATTTGGGGGTAATCAAAAGGGAGATTATCCAGGCAGATAATCTAATCACATGAGCTCTTTAAATCTGGCCTAGAGATGGAGGAAGTCAGAGATGCAAGCAATGGAGACATTCTCCTATTTGCCTTAACAGTAACTGTTACTTAAGTGCCACTGAGCAGGAAATAGTGGGTGGCCTTGGCATTAATGGCCACAGTCTGCAGCCAGCAAGAAAACCAAGATCTCTGTCCTACAGTAGCAAAAACTGAATTCTGCCAGGAAGCTGAAGAATGCGCTTGGAAGAGGACCTCAAGCCTCAGGGTACAGCCCTGATATGAGTCCTGTGAGACTCTCAGCAGAGAATCCAGCCATGCCATACTACACTTACAGAAACTAGGAAACAGCGTGTGTTAAATTTGTAGCAATTTAATACAAAGCAATAGAAAACTAACAAGGGATCTCAAAAGACAAGGGCTATCATCTTGGAAAAACAGAAGTACGTGATATGTTAAAGTGATAAAAACTATGATTCTGTCTCTTTAAAGGTTAACTGGTGTAAAAGAAATTGCTGATAGCCAAAACGTGTGATTTAGGGGTTCTCTCAAAGTGCTTGCCATCAGGTAGCTCTGAATCCAAATCTGAGCTCCTCCACCACTTTCTTGCAATATGATCTTGGCCAAGTTACTTAACTAGCTTAAACCCAGCAAACTCAGAAGATTAATAGGAACTGTGGCACCTGCAGGACCCTATTAAACATTAAAGACATGTTATATGATGGGCTAGGGATGTAGCTCATGGTACAGGGCTTGCCTAGTGTGCACAAGGCCCTGGGTTTAATCCATAGCACCACACACACATACAGATGTTAGATGATAATGATCATTTAGTAACTTTATACACAACTCATAGACCTCTGTAGCTAAAAATAAGATGCTGAAAACAAAAGGAATTCTGTCACTTGCCATTTCTCTACTTTAAAACTTTGTAATACTCCAATGTCTATGCTTAAACTCAGCATGACATACAAGAAACTCTTACAACCTGTCACCAACTTCACCTTTATATACTTCCTGTTTATCTTGCCTGACCTTTGTACCAAGCCTTTTTTCACGATTGGTTGCTATCTCCTCTACACATCCGCCACAGCATGAAGTGATGGTTCATCACTTGGCTATTTTTTTTTTTGTTTTCCTGCAAATACTTAGTAAGGAAGTGGTCAGGCCATATTCTCATCCTCCTTTGCCCAAAAAGAAAACCAAAAGCCTCACAAACCTAAATACAAAATGAAACACAAAAGTTAGTAGGCTGCCCTGAAATACCTAAAATGACATAACTAGCTAGAAGTCAGGAAACCCAGTGGCTCTCAAACTTTAATATGCGCTCCCAGATCTCTGCTAAAGCGCAGTGGATTCAGCTTTAGCAGAGGGAGAGGGACAAAAGCTGGGAATGTGCGTATTTGTAAGAAGCACCCAGGTGAGGTCAGTGCTGCTCATTACCGCAGCTCAACCTCCAGCTTAGACCTGTGCTGCCCACCTCGGGGGCCACCAGGCACGTGCGGCTGCCCTGGCCAAACGGCCTCGCCGTTCTGAGCCTTCTCCAAGTAGCACCCCTCTTGGGTACTTCAAAAGCATACATTTGCTACTTTACACTACTAGAAAAAATTGTAAGATAAACATTTATTTTAAAAATAAAATCACCCTGAGTCCTCTCGCTTCGTCTACTGATTCTCTCTCTCTGTGGTTCCCACGCTTGGAGATCGTAACACCTAGCTGTAGGAAAATAACCCAAAAAGCGGTTTCCACTCTTGAGGCGCAGCTAGGATAGCCGCCTGAGACCGCGCTTCCCCGCGGCCCAAAGCGAGGCTGAGGAAGCGGGTAGTCGGCCGGCAGCGCCTTCCCAACTCCTCCTCTTTCAGCGCCGACCTCACCAAGATGGCGGACAGCGGCGAGCCACTTCCGCTTCCGGTGTGAGCGGCCCGGCGGGTGGGGGGGGCAAGATGGCGGCGGCGATAGGGGTCCGCGGCCGGCTCCAGCTGCTGGCTTGCTCCGGCCCAGGCTGGTTTCTCAGTCTTTCCGCCTTGCTGAGTGTGGCGGCTCGAGGGGCCTTCGCCACCACGCATTGGGTCGTCACAGAGGACGGGAAGATCCAACAGCAGGTAGCGGCCAGAGTGCCTCTCTTCGCTCGCCCGCCCGCCCGCCGTCGCCCCGGGGGTGGATTTCCCGGCTGGGCTCCCGTTTGCCTCCGTGCGATCCCGCCCCTCAGTTTTCCTTCCCACGGTCACGGCCTTGAGGATACCTGCTCTGCGACCTGGCGCCGCCCCCTCCCCGCTTGAGTCCTGGTCTTCCCCTCCGCCGCCTGGAAGTTCTCAGCCTTCCATCCCTGGGGCCGCGCGCCGAGGAAGAGTCGCGCAGCGGTGGGAGAGACGGACCATGGGGACCATTTCTCGTGCTTGGGGCTTAAAGAAATCACATATTAATTAGCCGTGCCTTTGGGCCCACGCGCCACCGCCCCTCCCCGAGGAAGCAGAAAGCAGGTGGCAGCGCCGGGGTGTGCGCGAGTCCCAGGGCGGTGACAGCTAGGGCACCTCTAGTCAGTCAGTAAGTAGACCACTTAAGGCTGCTTCCCCGTTCACTTCTCCCACATGGGGGAATTTGTTTCAGGATGTGCTGCGTTTAGCTTGTGTCGTTACCCAGGTCAGCAGGGGCCCATTAGAAACACACACTCTCTCTCCTTCCCAAGGAATGCTTGAAGATGCCTCTGGTGGCCTTGCATCTTTTCAGCAGTAACTGCCCTTATTTCCCGGAGTTCTTTGCATTGTTTCTTTACCTAGTTCCTGTGACCCAGCCCTCCATGCAGGATATGCGATTTGCTGGATTCTTGTATCCTCAGAGGAGAGACTGCCTTTCTTATATAACTTTATGATGCCTGCATTCGGCTTAGGCTGCCGATGCCTGAATGTGTTCTGTCATAAAATCTTGGTAAACTTAATGACTTCCAGCACTTGAGAACGATATGGAAATGCCCAGAGAGTGTAGTGTGGGGCCCTGCAATTGAAGTACTCTCATCTCAAAAGTTTTTAACCAGTGTCTAGGAAAATTACTGGTCCTTTGGGTTAACTGTAGTGAGTGGTGATAGGAACACATTGCAAGGTTTACTTTTGTGTAAAGTGAGATTTAGATTTGCCAGGTGATGGCAAGTTTTATAATAATAAGTGTTAAATACAATTTTAAAATCAGCCCATGTGTTTTAATTACACCATACACGTCATTATATCAGTATCCTGTTAGATATCCCATTAGATATCGATATCCTATTAGATCATATTAGATTTCTTTTTTCATGGCCATAAAAACTGAGGCTTAAAATATATGTGTGTCCAGAGACCCTGTAAGTCTGTCTTCTTGACACACTTAAAAGATTGGAAATCTTATTTCAGTCCTGGTTGCTTCCACCCTTCTTTTGCTTTCTGATGGTGATTTTTCCCCCAGGCCTTCATGAAGAGAGTCTGAAATTAAGTCACTTCTGCTGCAATTGGGGGAGCCCTTTTCCTATTGGCTCTTTTGCTATATTGTTTTTGGCCACAGCTATTTATACTCTATGACATTGACTTCTCCTTTCCATTTTGGTGTCCTGCCACTCAGCTGAGAAAGTAACCCATCTGAAAAGTGAACACTGGCAGAAATGTATTATTTATGTGCTCAGAATTGCAATGAGAAAGTAAAATCTGATTTGGTTTTGTTCTTTAACAAATTCTTTCTTCTTTACACTGGATGTACATATGTCCTAGTAGGGAAACAGAGGTTATTTGTAACTTGCCTCAGAGAAGGAGGGAAAAGTGGAGGAATCTTTTGGATCTCTGCCAGGTTACCCCTGCAGTAAGTAGTTAGGCTTAAGACAGCAAGATTTCTTTCTTCATTATCTTTTAATGATAGTTTTCATTGAATCTTCCAATACTTAGCCTTTACAGTGTTAAGTTCAGGCAGCCATGAAATTTTATATCAGAAGAAATAAAGCTGCTGTCTACAGAGTAACAAGAAGCTGGAGAGGGGAAGTTGGATTTAATCTGAGGAAAAAGCAGCACATTCAGATAAAATGAGTGGAAAATATGATAAGGGCACATTACTCATTCATCCTTTCCTGGCAATAATTTGAATACAAACAGAATCTAAACTCAGTTTAAATTGTAATCAGTTATCACATTTGGATGTATTTAAGGAATTGAAAGATACTATTAGTATATGGACCTGGGTAGAACTATCCATACGTTCAGAAACAACTAAAATCTTACTTAGTATATATATATGCTGTGTCCTAAGCGACACATCAAATTCCTGCTGCTTCAGGAGGTAGAGATCAGGAGGATTTTGGTTAGAAGCAGCTGGGGCAAATAGTTTTTGAGATCCTATCTCAAAAATAACCAACTCAAAAAAAGGGCTACTGGAGTGGCCCAAGTGGTAGAGTGCCTGCCTAGCAAGTGTGAAGCCCTAAGTTCAAAACCCATTACCACCAACAAAAAAGGAAAGTTAATCACTTCTGCTTGTTCTTGGTTATATTACCTAACTGAGAGCAAAAATATGATTTCAGTTTAAAGTGATCTAATACCAGGGAAGGGGCTAAGAAAAAACTGAAATAGCAAATCTTACAAAAGTAGAGTGTTAAATGTCACTCTTAGTTGAAACTGTAGTATTTAAACCTGTTCATCTGGAGAAGTACTTATGAATTAATCTAAATTGCCCAAAGTATAGATTTAAATGGACATTTTCCATGTTACGGTTAAAGTTACAGGTACAGCAAGGAATCTTTACCAGGGGATGTGAATATTCATTTGGTTTTCATACCAAGCCTTAGCAAACCAGTTCTGTACCGCAGACTTGTAAATATACATGGTGCTAGAAACCCTGCATATTTAGGTGACTTGGAATGGGGTTTTAGTAGATCCTGCATACCTATAGGCAGACTCTTCCCAGTCAAAGGTAGGGCTGCTGGGAGCAGCAGGTGTCCAGTACTTGTCATGGCAGATCAGGGAATTGTTTCTTTCCATAATTCCTGCCTCACCTATGACACATAACCTTACCAGGTTTTTAGAGTAAGTGTTCCTGAACTGCCACTTAATTCCCAGGAGTGTGGTCCAAGGGATGCTGGAACGGGAATGTGAAGAAAACTGCTAAGTTCAGTTGCTATGTTTCTTTCCCAGAGGAAGGCTAAGAAAAAGTCCCTCTCCAATTCCATGCTATTCTCCCAGCTTTGGGCATTGGCATTCCTCTGAGCCCCCTGTTGTACCCTGTACCTGGAAACTGGGGAGGCCGTCTCATTTCATTTAAGCACAGGTTCTTAAATTGGGGTCCATAGCCTTTTTTTTTTTTTTGCAGTACTGGGATTTGAACTCAGGGCGTACACCTTGAGCCACTCCACCAGCCCTTTTTTGTGATGGGTTTTTTTCGAGATAGGGTCTCACGAACTATTTACCTTGGCTGGATTTGAACCTCGATCCTCCTGATTTCTGCTTCCTGAGTAGCTAGTTAGGATTACAGGCGGGAGCCACAGACGCCTGGCTGGGGTCCATAACCTTGAGGAGTATGCTGTTATAATCTAGTTAGGAGGAGGATCTACACTGTAATCAGGCCAGTGCATCTTTCCATTGACTTTGTGAAGAATAAGTTTCAAGATAAATATTTTTGTTGTTTAATTTTGATGTTCTTTTTGCTTAAGCACTAGTGTTGCAACATCTATTTTTTTTTTTTCACCAAATATGCCTTGACACATTTCATTAAAGGTTAAACAAATGTTTGGGAGTTACTTAAGAACCTGGTCACTATATATCATCTCATTTCTGTGGAAAACTGATGTTCCACGTTTTGAATTATCAGTTAACAGAAGAGCTCTTAAAATGTTACCAGTTTGTTAGTTGCAGGCTTATTGAATCAAGAACTTCTAGCAATGGGTTCATTGCCTCTGGTGTTCTTTTCAGAAATGAAAATCTAAAAATTTAAGTAGAGAGAGTCATTAACTCTCATAACATTGTAACATTTGTTTTCTTGGCCACTTTGTCCCTTTCCTTTAATGTTAGAATCATAGAGTTTTAGGTTTGGATAGAATTCTTAAATACATGCTACAGTTCACTGGAACATTGTCCAAAGTCACCCAGCTAATGAGTGGCAGTTAGTGATAGCAGGAAGTAAAAATGTATTACTGTATAGTATGCAAGTGAGCATTTTGTACTTGGTAAGTTTGAGGTGTATTTTTTTTTCCTCATAACCCCAACAAATGAAGGAAATAACATAGTAAATGTCTTCTTCTAGATTGCTCTGTCTTTGCCAAATATTTTATGATAAGTTCAGAATGGGAGTAGGTGAGGAAACAGGAAGGGTCACAAATAAGTCATTCAGTCAGGCAAATGTTTTAGGAGTACAGAACTTTTTAATCACAACAAAAAAGTTTTTTTAGAAAGCATCAATCTTGGCAAAGGACTTTTTCATAAGTGTTTGAGCAGCTATGACCCAAAGAAGAACTATCAGATTTAGTTGACATAGAGGCTACATCTCTTATCACTGGTCTTTAATAGTTTATAAATGGATGAGTTGTTTAATTTTGGTCTGATGTTAAGTATTTGATTAATCTGAGAAAGTGCATCCATATGGCACTCTGAAACAGCCTTATTTTAGCACCTTTCTAAAAGGAAGCCATCTTTTTGTCATAGAACACTGTTTCTATGTTTATTCACTTAAGGGATTTGCGTAGACCAGAGATGTCTTAGTGGTTACATACCAACTTGCTAAGCACCCACTAAACCTTTGCCATTTGCCTTTGACCTGACATCAGGGTGATTCTCTATTCAGTCCATTTTCTTCCAGATTGTCCACTGTTGTAAATTATCTAGATATTAACTTTGTCTATACTGTGGAGTAGTAAGAAGAGGTTGGCGATATACAGAGGTAAATTATAACTTTAAGTAATTTTGCTAATTATTTATTGACTGCTCACTTTCTACCAACCTACTGTGCGTTGATGGATATCTTCTTTTCTGTTGGCTACAATGACGTGAGATTTTCAATTTTCTTTGGGGGAGAGTGAAACTCAGTTCCTTAATCTCCCATCCCTAGTCCACTTATCTTCTAGATCAGTGGTTTTCAAACTTTACGTTACATAAAAATAATC